ACGATCAGTAATTCGGACTTCGACGGCAAGACGAAATACTCTTCATCGTGCGATGGTCACCACTACTGGGGGTTTATTATCACGGGTGCGAAAACGGAGGTGACATTGGTTGGAAACGCCATTCATGGCATGTCTGGAAGATCTCCGAAAATCGGAGGCTCTGAAGATAACGTCATTGCGGTCCACGCTGTCAACAACTACTTCTACGACAATACCGGTCACGCCTTCGATGTATCGCAGCGAGGTTACGTCTTGGCGGAGGGAAACTACTTCGACAATGTGAAGACGCCCAACCAACCCGACCCAGAAGGAAACATTTTCATCCCTTCCTCGGCTGGAGACTGCAAGGAAACCATTGGTCGTGACTGTGAGTTAAACGTACTTACGGACAGCGGAACTTTCACCAGTTACTCGGAGGACGAGGCGAAGAAGCAGATTAGCACGTACAAAACCCAGATCGGTGGATATAAGGCCGTTGCAGCTGCGAAGTTCGACGTGGCCAGTGGCAACTTCGGCGTCGGAGATTTGGGCGGTAACAGCGTGACACAGTCGAGCGGCTCTGGCGCTGTGCAGCCAAGTACAAACTCCTCCTCTGATCAGGAGACGAACACTCCTTCTGCTACCCAAGCCACGCAAGCAACACCTGCTCCAGCGGCGCCGGAGTCATCCTCTAACCAGGGATCAACAGGGACAGGAACCCCGTCGCCAGAGACTCCCGAGACTAAGACGAGTACAGATTCCTCCGCTGGAGCTCAGAAGACGGATGCTCCTTCTGCTCCAGCGACGCCGGAGTCATCCTCTAACCAGGGATCAGCAGCGGTTGGCACTCCGTCGCCACAGTCTCCCGAGACGCCTGAGGCTCCAACGACGCAAGGTTCGGGCTCAGATGCTCCAGCGACTGCGCCTTCTCCTGAGTCTCCATCCACGGAAGCCCCGACAGGATCAGGGGCGCCTTCAACGGGAGCCTCCTCGGCTTCAGATCCAGAACAAACCAGTCCATCAACTAGCTCCAGTTCAAGTGTCATTGGCTCTCCGATAGGCTTCGCGTCGGGAACCACAGGCGGTGGCAACGCTGACCCTGTGTATCCGAAAACGATCAAGGAGCTTGGAACATACCTAAGTGACAAGGAACCTCGGGTTATCGTGCTCAAACAAGAGTTCAACTTCATCGATTCGGAAGGATCAACGACTGAAAAGGGATGTCATTCGAAGAACAACATCGACTGTACTGCTAAGAAGAACGGCTTCAAAGGACAAGACACGATCGAGACGGACTTCAGTAAATGCGATGGCACTTCTATCGACGTGACGTACGACAAGGCTGCCATCACCCCGTTGTCCATTAGTAGCGACAAAACTTTGATCGGTGAAGGCACCAAGGGTGTCCTCAATGGCAAGGGTATCCTCATCAAGGGCAGCAACGTCATTATCCAGAATATTCACATCACGAACTTAAACCCGCACCTAGTATGGGGAGGCGACGCGATCGGTATTAGTGGTGACGGAGACGACGTTCCTAAGGGCATTTGGATCGACCACGTCAAGGTTTCCAGTATCGGACGTCAGATGGTTGTTACCCACTTCAGTGGGGCTTCTGGAGTCACGATCAGTAACTCGGACTTCGACGGAAACACGAAGTATTCGCAGTCGTGTGACGGTCGTCATTACTGGGGATTCTTGATCCTCGGAAAGAAGACCGAGATGAGTCTGCTGGGTAACTACATTCACATGATGTCGGGTCGAGGGCCTAAGATCGGAGGCACTGAGGGAGATGTCTCCGTTGTCCACGCCGCTAATAACTACTTCGAAGACAATAGCGGACACGCCTTCGACGTGGCAACGGGTGGGTATGTGCTGGCTGAAGGCAACAACTTTGATAGTGTGAAAACGCCCAACCAGCCCGACCCGGCTGGAAACATCTTCATCCCTGCGGCTGCTGGAGACTGCAAAGCTACCATTGGTCGTGACTGCGAAGTGAATGTACTCGCTGACAGCGGTACGTTCACCGGCAACTCGGAAGATGCGGCGAAGAAACAAATCGGAACGTTTAAAACGCAGATCGGCGGTACCAAGGTGACTACTGCTACGAAATTCTCGGCGGCTAAAGGGAATTTTGGTGTTGGTGAGCTGGGCAGTAGCAGCGCCGCTCCGTCGCCGGCATCGGGAAGTAACGCAGCGCCTACTAGCACTGAAGCTGCTCAGAATCCTTCAACTGAGGCATCAACGTCGCAGGGTTCGACGTCGACAGAGACTACTCAAGCTCCGACTGCGGCACCGAACCCGGAGACCCCTTCGACGACGGATTCGCCTCACCAGGGCGACTCGGAGACGGAGGCGCCGTCTGTCAACGCTCCTGCTGCTACACCTTCAGCGAATGCCCCGGCAACGGCGCAGACACCTGCACCAGAAATGCCACTAGGTACCGTCGCACCGTATTCAGACGACTCGGGATCTGGTAACTCGATTCTGCAGTGGGGTCATGTGACGCAAGGAGCTGCTTCTACGAGCTCTGAAAATTGAGTCAAACCAAATTGATGTAGTGTTTGTGAGGCACTGTTGATGAAATCATGGAAGAAATGGACAAGCTTGATGTTTGTATGTGTAGTGGTGCTCGACGAATAAATCACTACTCTTGGCGTTGTGTCACTTGTTTGATATTCATGCACCAAATTATAATACGTGTATTGAATTTTGTTTATATTACAGTATACAAGTACTGTAATTTTTCACAGTATACTTAAGTATATGTACTGCAAAAAATAACGTATACATTCGTACTTAGCCAATTCGTCTTTCAAAGCACGTGACGATCGATGCCTGGCCGACCGCGAGTAGTGAGAGTGAAGTCCGATGATGCAGCCGCGGAGCCTGCACGCCCGACGCAGCGCCGTGAAGCCGTGAGCTACGTGCGCAAGATGGAGATTGTGGCACACTACGAGACACATAATAGTCTGGACGAGACGGTGGCGCTCTTCTTCCCGGACGCGCCGGCGTCGCAGGTGCGCGCCAAAAAGCAGCTTGTCATGCGCTGGAAGCGCGAACGCGCCAAGATCGCGGCCATCTGTGAGGCCGGTGGAGGCCGAAAGACCAACGACCGCAAGTTCGGCATGGGCGCCACGCTGTCGGCTGAAGCTGAACAGCGTATTGTCGACTGGATGCACTCAGAACAGGCAGCCGGCCATGTCGTGTCGGCCAAGCGTCTCACCGAGCGCGCTATGCAGGCGGCACAAGAGGACAAACTGCATCCGGACAGCTTCAAGGCTTCGTGGACGTGGAGACAGTCATTTCTGCGGCGACACGGCTTCACGCAGGGCGCGCAGAGAGGACAGACCATACCAGACACAGACTCTGCACCCGATACTGTGCCGGACACAACGAAAACAGATACAGCAATAACAACTTTGTAGAGCAGATAGATAGATTGAGTGTTGTTATTAAACTTGAGTAGCTGAGGGCGCGATGAAGGTTAGTAGTAGTAGACTCCGGCCTTCACCATGGCGCTTGCGAAGCGTGTCTCCTCGCAGCTTTTATTTGGCATCCGCTTGGTGATTATTGTAGGCGGGTACCAGCCCATAGTAATGGAGTCTGTAACAGGTGCTAGGGCCTTGTCACGTGGATCCTTCTCCATACGCTGGTGCTTTACCAGCTTGGCTCGAAAGTCAAGGTTGGACACGAACTCACGTGTCGGAAGGCCGTTTTTCAGGTACGCGTTGTGAGCGGAAGCGGCCGCCATGGACTGCGAGTGGCGACAGATTTCGTCCATTTGGGCTAGGAACGTGGCCAGGTCGATTGACTGGGAGCTGCCAGCGCCGTTCTGTAGACGAAAGGCTTGCCCAACGAGCGTTCGGGCGCTGCCAGGCACGTTGTCGACGCCTTTCGGGCATTTGTAGAGATACCGCAACATGACTGGTAACTGTGATATTGTAATGGTGGCCGAATCTAGCTCGGCATTCGCGGCTTTGACATCTTCCTCGCTTTCGGAATACAGCGAGAAACCAGGTCGATAAGTCTGCATGAAGGCGTCTTGGAAGTCACGTCCCTGGAACGTGTGGATCGGAGTCTCTTTCACCGGGTCGAACGAACCTTGCGAGCCGAGAAAAGTGAGGCCGAAGAAGGCAGACATGTTGGTGGAGCCTTGGGTTGAAGAAAATGAGGTAAATCACGATGGACTGAGCTGGATAAATGTGGAGTGCATGCGAGTATTTAAGCAATCGCGCTACAAATAGTTCTGTGAGATGATAACGGCCAAAATAAATGCCAAGTACGAGAAGTAAGTTTGGTTACAAGTTGGAGCGCTTTGAACATGCTGTTGGTAAACATGTTACTCCTGTTGAAGAAAGCGTAACTTGTGAGCTTGAAGTCTTCACTGGACTTTGCACCACGCAGAGTTGACTCATCGCATTTTGTTTTGTGATCATACAGTGAGTACGGGATTGACCGGCATGGTAAATGAAGGCTGAGCTGGAGACGATCGAGGACTGCAGAGGGTGAAAGTACTTCAAAATTAAAAAACCGCAAGCAAAGGTGACGTGAGATTGAACGTTTGCTTGCGGCCACGGCAGTCGTGTCCGTATCAACGCTGGCCGCATTTCGTACCGTAGCACGTTATCTTGGGATGGAACCTCCGCCATCTGACTGAGCCCCGGAGACACAAAAGCTGGACCAAACAGTTTCTGTGTCCGGCAACAACTCGCGTTCGAACAACAAAACGGTGAGAAACGTAGATTCTCGCGCTTGGAGACGAACATCGGTGTGCCGGTCCTCATTCTCGAATTTGTTCAAACGTCAGTCACAGCTATTGAGCTCAAATTTGACGGCTCGAAGGAGAATGGACCGCAGGCTCTTCGTAGCGTTGCTTGCGTTTGTACTAGCTCACCATGAATTGGCCATCGCTGCTTCAATCATAACGGGCACGGCACCTGGATTTGCGGCGGGGACCACAGGAGGCGGCGACGTAAAACCCGTCTACCCTACCACCGTCAAGGAATTGGCAACTTACCTCAGCGATGCCGAACCACGGGTCATAGTATTGAAGCAAGAGCTCAAGTTCATCAACACTGAGGGGTCCACAACCGAGAGTGGATGTCGCCCAACCAACAACCAGCAATGCCTCGCCAAGAACAACGGTTTTAAGGGACAGGATGCGATTCTAATGAACGGAGATACAGCTATGCAGCAAACGGGTGGATGCGACAGCGGCGGCAAGTCGATTGATGTGACGTATGACAACGCAGCCAAGGATCCATTGACAGTCGCTAGTGACAAGACATTGGTTGGTGAAGGCACCAAGGGTGTGCTGAATGGCAAAGGTCTCATCATCACTGGCAGTAACGTAATCGTGCAGAATATCCACATCACGAATTTAAATCCTCATCTAGTGTGGGGCGGCGACGGTATCACCATTCGAGGAGAAGGTGACGTCGCACCTAAAGGCGTGTGGATCGATCATGTTAAAGTCTCCAGTGTCGGACGTCAGATGGTCGTAATTAACTTTTCAGGAGCCACGGGTGTCACGATCAGTAACTCGGATTTCGATGGCAACACTAAGTACTCGGCTTCGTGCGACGGTCACCACTATTGGGGTTTCTTGATTTTGGGTAAAAAGACAGAGCTTAGTCTGCTTGGCAACTACATTCACCACACTTCAGGTCGGTCGCCCAAGATCGGAGGCCACGACGGGGAGATCTCTGTTGTCCACGCTGCCAACAACTATTTCTTCGAGAATTCTGGTCACGCTTTTGACGTGGCAACGGGTGGGTACGTTCTCGCAGAGGGAAACTACTTCGCTTCGGTCAAGTCTCCGAACATGGACGACCCAACCGGAAACTTCATGGTACCTACTGCTGCGGCAGATTGCAAGGCGACCATCGGTCGCAACTGCGAGCTAAACGTTCTCAAAGACAGTGGCGCTCTGAAGGGATACTCACAAGACAAGGTGGGGTCGCAGCTTACAGATGTCAAGAAGCAGATCACGGATTATAAGGTCACGGCAGCGACTCAATTGTCGGAAGCTAGTGGCAACTTTGGTGTAGGTGAATTCGGAGGTGGCATTACTCAGTCGAGTGCCTCTAGTGGTGCTGAGGCACCTAAAACAGACCCGAAAACAACGCCAACAAAGGCTCCGGTGACGACGAAACCACCAACCACCAAGTCTCCGACAACCCAGGGATCGGATGCTGGTGCACCTACGACTCAAGATTCGGGCTCAGCTGACGCTCCCGATACGAAAGCTCCAGTAGCAACGAAGGTTCCGTCAAATACAGCAACTCCAGCTTCGACAAATACCCCCAAGACGAACGTGCCTACTCCTACAGACACTCCAAACCAGTCTCAGCCGCCTGCTCCAGCTAATACCCCAAATGAAGGATCGACGAGTGGATCGGTTCCTGGATTTGGAGCTGGAACTTCGGGGGGTGGTAGCGCGAAACCCGTCTACCCCAAAACTATCAAGGAACTCTCCACTTACCTCAGCGATGCCGAGCCACGAGTCATCGTACTGACACAAGAGTTCAAGTTCATCAACACCGAGGGATCCACGAAAGAGAGTGGCTGCCGACCGACGAACAACCAGCAGTGTCTTGCAAAGAACAACGGCTTCAAAGGACAAGATGCAATTCTCATGAACGGCGACAAACCTATGCAGCAAACGGGCGGGTGCGACAGCGGCGGCAAGTCGATCGAAGTGACGTACGACAACGCCGCTAAGACCCCACTGTCTGTTGCGAGTGACAAGACTTTGGTTGGGGAAGGTACCAAGGGTGTTCTCAATGGTAAAGGCCTCCTCATCGAAGGTAGTAATGTGATTATTCAGAACATCCACATCACAAATTTGAACCCTCACCTCGTCTGGGGTGGCGATGCGATCTCCATCGGCGGTAGTGGACAGGCACCGAAGAATATTTGGATCGACCACGTCAAGATTTCCAACGTGGGTCGTCAGATGATCGTGGTTCACTTCTCCGGTGCTACGGGCGTCACGATCAGTAACTCGGACTTCGACGGCAATACCAAGTTCTCAGCTTCCTGTGATGGCCATCACTACTGGGGGTTCCTGTTGTATGGCAAGACGACGCAGATCAGTCTAGTGGGTAATTACATTCACACGATGTCGGGACGCGGACCAAAGATCGGTGGTGCTGAAGGTGATAACGTCGTTGTTCACGCTGCAAACAACTACTTCGACGACAACACGGGTCACGCGTTTGACATTGCCGCTGGCGCGTACGTGTTAGCTGAGGGTAACTACTTCTCTTCGGTCAAAACGCCCAATCTGGACGACCCGGCAGGACACTTCTTCGTTCCTGTACGAGAAAGCAACTGCAAAACTGCTATTGGTCGTGCTTGCAAGCTTAACGTCCTCACTGCTAGTGGAAAGCTGACCAGTTACTCTGCACGAGCGGCGTTGGGAGAAGTGAGCAAATATTCGAAGCAGATTGGTGGATATGCGGTTACTGAAGCCTCAAAGCTATCGGTGGCGAGTGGTAATTTCGGTGTTGGTGCACTAACTAGCACTATTGCTTCCGCGACAAATAATAAGGATACTCCAGCCAAAGAAGCTGAAGGTTCCATTCAAGAAGCCCAACAACAGGAAGATACGGCTGCTCAAACTTCGTTGGAATCAAATGCACCAGTTAACGAGGCGGCCTCGGTGGCGGCCGATTCAGATGTTACGCAAAGTGCCATTCAGTCGACGGAGGCCCGCTCGGTTGGCACGTGCAAGCGAAAACTTCGCAAGAGACACTAGAATGGATGTCGTGGAAGTTAACCAAGCCCCGATAGAACAGAAGGTGGATTTTGATGTGGTAGAGTGCTACGTTGTTTAAACGAGTAAAACGGGCAGCATCGTACTAGTAGTATCGTAGTCTGTATTGTGCCTTTCCAAAGTTTTGGCCAATCTGACCTTTAAAGGCTGGTCCTAAGCAAGGGTGGGTAGGGCTAAAGGTGGGATTTGAGGACGAACTGGAGTTGAATTGCTAAGCCAGGCCACTAAATAAAATGATATTTGACCAATAACACTGTTTGATTTTGCCGACTATGATCCAAATAATACTTGATTGTGGAGGTCCTACGTAAGGGCTCCGATTTGGTCTAAAGGGTACCTTTTAACAAATTAAGGGCTGAATGGCCAGTATTTGTCGGCCATTTACCCTTACCTAAGGTATCCACAACAGATTGATTTTAACCCCTTGAACGCGAAGGCCTGTATCAGACGCGATATCAAAAAATGCTTATCCTGGACCATACACGATAAAATGTTTTAACTCAAAGTTTGTATGAGTCTATACAATTTTTAAGACAACTAGGGGACGGGGTGCCTGCGTGTCGCATTCGTTGACTTCGTCGCTGTTCGCGGCTATCCAATTCTCTAAATATAAATATTTAGAGGATGTAGTGGTGTGTGACACACTCTACAAAATATCGCAATTCGTGGCTCCGACGCCACACATTTCCGTTAACTCAAGAAATCGCAGGCAAGCCCACAGATGTCAGGTTTTCGGGCCCGCTGGGCTGAGCTGAAGAAAGTAGGCTGGACTTCCAGACGCCCTGTTGGTCTGTCGGATAACTTCACCTACATAAAGCCGGGAAAAACCAAGAAGGACACTCATGGCATCGATTATTTTGTCGGCGAAGAGGAACTAATGCGCCATTTGGACCGCATCGACCTTGGTAGGCTTCTTTTGCTCTTATTCTGTACGTGATCATTCGTTAACTCAAATGGATGGTACAGCTAACGCTGCAGTAGCTAATGCGAAGCCGACGAACCCCGCCTGGAGCGACAAAGACGAAGGTGTCAGCGAACAAGCTACCAGTCTCCGTCCAACCGGTAAGGCGGTGGTTATCTTGTATAATACTCGTGATATATTGGTAACGGATGAATGATACATTATATACTTTTTGTAGCTACGTCATGCGAGCCGAAGAACACCGAGAGCCAGACTGAAGCACTGCGCACTAAATCTGATGAGCGCCCGTCCAGCGCAGGTCTTTATGCTACAACCTTATACTATGTTGTACAAGACATGTTATCTAACTCTTCCTAACCTGTATGTATGCCATCATCGCAGACGCTGCTGCGGATTGCTCAGAGAGTGATGATGGTGACAGCCAGCCTTCTCCAACCTTGCAATATGAGTCACCGCATGTGTCGCCGACCCCACGACGTGAGTCCCCTTCTGTTAGTACACGCGTGGCGTATGACCAGCAGCTCACTGACGAAGCGTCAGGCTCGGACGAGACCAATGCACTTCAACGCAGTTTGGATGAAGAGTTCACAGCGGCGGGGAGTGAGGATGAGAGTGAAGAAGACAGCAGACCTCGCCGATCAGCAAGAATTGCCGCAATCCCTTCTGGTTCGTTAAGATGTATATACAGTATAACGATACACGATAATTGTTTTAACCTGCACCATTTTGTATCAACAGATATCAACGCTGTTCAAGATACGGATGACACCAACGACTACAACACCTTGGCGTCGGAGGGTGAAAATGATGATGGAGTATCTAATGGTGATGTAAGTGATCTGGGTGAAAGCTCGGAAGAAGAAATCAACGAGGATACTGGCGAGGAGGACGCGGAGGACGCTTTGTTTGACGAGACGCTAGTCGATGCAGTCGGTGGGATCGCAAACATCGCAAGCGGCACGATAAACGCAGATATCCTGAAGGATACGGCTACCACAGGATGGTCTAAACCTGTATCATATAGTCCACTTCCGTACCTAGACCAGCCGTATGAAGTTCGACCTGATGATGCTCTTCGTGATGAATATCCAGGGCTGTATGAAGGCGAATATGGTCCATCTGCACGTGCAATCGAAGCCGCCTCAACTGTGTGCTGCCTTCACGGTCATCGTTCAACCGCATGAGGGTCTACATGAAGGATAAGCCCCATAACTGGGGCACCAAACTGTTCATGCTGTGCTGCTCGGCTACTGCCTACTGTATGCGGTGAGTTACGAGCGTGCTGGTGTGCACGCTTTATTTTTTTATTTGATCTAAAGCCCCCTTAACGTGTATTATACAAAATGATGACAATCTTATGTTGTATGGCACAGCTTCGAGGTATATTGCGGGAAGAAGGATACTGATGGATCGGCTTCACGAGATACGAAATCGGGCCCCGCTGCTGTTATTCGCAACGTCAAAGATGTTTTTGGAGAAAATGGGTCAGCGGAAAAGAGACTGATTGTGACGGACAGATTTTACACATCGCCATCCCTCGCCATGCAGCTACTTACTCTTGGCTTTTATAGTATCGGGACTGTGATGACCAACCGCCGCGGTTTCTGCAAAGACATCATTGTGAAGAAAAAGAAGCGTCCTACAGATGTTCCTCGCGGGACGTACACAGTTGCCAAGTCCAAGTTTGTGCCAAGTATCAAGGCCGTTTGCTGGTGGGATAACCGCCCTGTGCATCTCCTCTGTGCTGGAGGAAGTGTGGAGCAGGACCGCGTGGTTCGCCGTGAAAAGTCAGGCGAGCAGGCGGAAGTGGCCTGTCCGAAAGTGCTGAAAGATTACCAGACTTTCATGGGCGGAGTTGATGTCCACGATCAACTCCACCTGCAGCGGTAAGTTCGGCTATCCTGTATGTACACGATATCGATTATCCTAATCCTGTATTATTCATGATACAAACAGATATTCCCTTCAACTTTCCCTAAAGTACAAGAAATACTACAAGACACTCTTTCTGGGGTTCCTGGACCTAGCTATCGTGAATGCATTTATTGTTTTCAACAAGCGGCGTGCTAAAGAGGGGAAAGGAAAGCTCGCGCACGTCAAGTTCCTCAAGCAACTACATCTCGAGCTGGTACAGTTGCAGGAATCGGATTGGGGGGCGCTGTGTAGTCGGGAAGGGACACCAACAAAGTCTCGAGCAGCTCCAATGCAGCGAGTTCATGCTCCTGTCCAAGTTGATGAGTGGCGAGGTGGAAACAACGGGCAGGGACGAAAGAGACGACAGCGTGCGTGCAAAGTGTGCTCGGTACTGAAGGGGACCTACGAATCACGTGGAGGCGAGACTACATTCTACTGCAGCTGGTGCAAACTGCGTACAGCATCAAAAGATCCGAAGGAACTGCGCGTGTACCTGTGCAATAAGGTAAAGCACACAAGCAATGGTGAGTCGGTTTCATGCTTTGAAATCTGGCACAGACACTGGCAAAATGGTACCTTGCTACCCCCGTCGCAGAGGAAGCGGAAAATTAGGGCGCGGAAGCCTGCAGCTACAGCTGATGAGGAGAACAATTCTGGAAGTGAAGATGACAGCGGCGGAGATGACGCTGGCCACTCGCCGAAGAGACGTCATCGCGAAGAGGCGACTATCTGAGCACCTGTTTTTCGTTTCTTGATTAACTTGATTTGAATATATAGTTGATAGTTTGTAATGCAGCTGCTGTTGAAGTCTATATTTCGAGAAATATCTCTACCATTTGTGTGTGCTTTTTGTACGCTGTTATACACGTTTGTCGTCTATCGGGTATTCGTAAAATAACTAATACCTGTAGCATACACGATAACCACTTCTGCAAATCTTAGGTGTGGGTGTTTGTAGCGGCTTTACACTATACAGGATACATAATTGTATCAACTAAACTATACTTACCCTTTCCACAAGATACACGATAACGCAGAAAGGGTTTCGGTAAATGACCGCGTTGGAAAACCTTCGCGTTCAAGGGGTTAAATAAAATATGGGCTACTCATCAGACATACGCTGGCGAGGCATTGTCTTGCAGTATGTCTACAATATTGAGATCAGCGTAGTTGCCAGTGTACTGGGCGTCTCGGCCAGAAGCCTTCGGAGATGGTACAAGACAACAGGAAATGTCGACGACACCCCAAAGAATGAGCGGTCATCTAAATGGGCTGGTCAAATATTTTTTTGATTGGCATCGTCTTTTCTTCGTTAAAGGGTTAGGTTAACTTTTAGTCGGAAGCACCCGATCAAATAGGAGGTCTTCCGTAGGGGCCACCCCTACGTAGGACCATAAAACTGAGGGCGTTTTGGCAGAAAGGCACAATACACATTGGTTATTGTGAACGAGGCGGTACTTTCTGGGATTGCAACGTAAAGCTATCCTAGATTGTGCTCTGTTATTTTGAGCTTTTAGTCATGAAGTCATTTGTTATTCTTCGAATGGCCTCACATCCAATCTGGATTTAATAAAACAATTTTAAATTGACCTAATATGCATGAAAATGAAAAAAAATCTGCTTTATATTTGGTTCGATTTGAGCACTGGGTTACCACGATCACAAAAAAG